CATTATACCGGGTGTGTTGGCCGTAAGCAACTTTGTTTATTCATATGAAGTGAGTGCAAAAAACATCGAAAAAATACAAGAAATACACCAAAACCAAGATTATCGATCGGAGCGCCCCATCTGCGCCCAGCGCACGCGTCATGCGCCAGAGCGCGTATTGACGCTCTTCACACTGTCGGTGCGGTCGGCGCCGTCGGCGCCGTCGGCACCGACCGCACCGATGCGAACTATGAAAGCAGCCTAACGCTGGCACTATGACATCAGTTCCGCGCCGGTGCCCGTGGGGCAGGCTACAGCCGTACCCGCAACGAACTAAAGTGGTATTCATGCTACGGGTCTCATGGTCAGACGACAAGCTTCCAGCAAATTTGGTTATCCAGGGTGTTCTGGCACCTTTTGGCACCGGCAGCTGTGGCACGAGCGCCAACCATCGCTAACAAATGTGATAAATGTGTTCTACCGGTCGAGCTGCCCCTTAGGGCAACTTTCTAGCCAAATCAACAGTCACGGATAAATTCCGATAAAAAAGGCTCTGTTTTCGACGAGACGGCAGTAAAGGGTGAATAGTGCCACTCGTTCTAGCTGCTTCCAAAATGGTTAAATAGTAGTTTATTCGAAAATATTGCAACTGGTGAAAGGAGAAACGTGCAGGACGTCCTTATGTTGACCAACCTTAAAGATATTATGATAGCTAATTTAAAGAAACTTTATTGATATATCACATAATAACAAAAACACAGTACAAAACAGAGGAGCCCGTATTGAGAAGAGCAAATCGATCGGGAGAAGTTGGTGATTGTAATGAGAACAATGAGCTGAGACCTTAAACACCTGGGAAGATAATCGCACAATTGTAATGGCGAGGTTGAAGAATCGATCGAGATCAAGAGGGAATATTTGGAAGAAAAATTTAGCCATAGATCTAGCTGATCATCTAGAACACCAAACTAGTAAGATCCTTTGACGATAAAAGTGATGCCGTTATTGGATCTGAGGCTATGATACGCTCCAAATCTGCCCGCAGAGCACCGCGTTGCACACCACAAATGCTTCCCGGTTCACTTAGGTCATGAAGAACGTCGGTCAGCTTGGAGAGCGATCCTGTAAAATAGCAAGGGAATAGTATAGAATGTGGGAGCTAGACTGATGTGAGCAGTGGTCAAGGCTCCTGCGATGGGGAGAGGGGATAGTATTTGCCTTGGTGGGAGGGGATAAAATTTGGGATTTTGAGAATGTCGTAAGGTCGCATTCATCATGGAAGAGCAGGAGCGCATTGATCCAAAGTTTCTTAACACAACGCTCACCCCAGCTGGAGTATACCTTTTGTATGATTCTGATGCGTGTACAAAAACAAATAATATCCTACTATATATAAGCGGCTAGCGTGTGTCTGTTGGTGTGTGTGTGTGTGTGTGTGTTTGACCGGAAATTCATAGCTCGAGTCACAGTAATGATAGCGCAGTGGTTCTTACATATGTTATAGGGGGTGGGATGGGGACACAAGTGGTACGTGATAGGAACTGATAACGACTGATAATAGCTGATAAGAGGGGCTAGAAAGCGAGCATCGCCAATTTCGTTTTGCCGTTCATATTGGTAAAGAGCGTCTATACTTACAAGTCTTATGTGGGGCGGTCCCGGGACATTGGTGGTACATGATTGGAAGCGATAGCAACTGATAATGGCTGATAAGATGCGCTAGAACGCAAAAGTCGTCGATTCCGTTGCCTGGCTCGCGTTGACACCAGAGCAACCATACTTACAAGTGTTATGTGGGGTGGGACGGGGACATTGTTGGTGGGTGCCAGAAACTGATAACGATTGATAAGGGCTGATAAAAGGCGCTGGAACGCAAGTGTCGCGAAATTCATAGCGCGGGTACCAGAAGTCATCAGGAGTTGATTTCAAGATATGGTACAGGGGTGGGACGGGAACATACTGGGCGGGGGACAAAAAGCGATAACACCTGATAAGGGCTGATAAGATTGATCAGGGTAAAAATGAAGAGCCGCTAAAGTTGTTATCTAGATGGCGACAAAAAATACTATTTAGTTTGCGATTTCGTCGTTGCCATCGAGATTGCTTAGACCGCTAATCTTTCCGAGCTTTCTGGGATGGTCGGTGTTTGTGCATAATGGTGTTGGTGCTTCTCTTTCAATGCCATAGACGTAAGAATTGCAACCGCTAGAATATCTCAACATCCAAAGCATGATAGTTGTCCATGCATAGTCCTGATAGCGTAAACAACTATCGTGCAACTTCAACAAAGGTATTAGTTATCTGAGCTTATTCGGCCGCTAGACCATGTTAGTTTCCGAAAAATGATGGACGTTTGTGGGGTTGACGAGCTCCCGTAAATAATTGCTTTATCACCAGCAGTATAGTCACCTTCGTTGATAACATCTCTCAGATTCATCAAAAGCATGAGTGCTGTTCAACACAAGGGCCCGGCTGTGCTCATTTTTGTTACCGCCTATGTACTTTGACGCGCGGTAGCGAGCGAAGCCAAACTCATTAAACCGCTCAACTTTAGGATTTGCGAAAGTGTGAATGTAAAGCAAAGATAAGCATCAGATCTCACTTTTTATAAGGAGCATATTTCATTTTCATTCTAAGGCTAACAGCAAAACTCTAATCACCGCTAAATTGTCAGGATTCAAGAAAAATGCTAGGTGTTTACGAGTTGTGATAAATATACCGACTCAGCTTCGCATTCACGCGCATGTATGATGGACTTCAATGAAAGTGACGATCCTCCAACCTCAGGTCACTCCACTGACATATCCAATAGTGAGCTGCTTTGTGGAGTAGATCACCAGATGTTCCTTAAGTCCTCCAGTTTCGCTGAAGCCTACCGTGTTATGCGCGCGATAGCGAGCGGAGCAAAACTGGGTTAATAAAAATTAGGAACCGAAGTGTGGCAACCGCTATAAGCGCCACATCATCACATGACCCCGAGAGACTCGAGAGTTCGACCTCTTGCAGGATAAACCTGATTTTCCGAACCCTCGGAGTCGGTTAGGCCTCAAACTATTTCAAATGCACTCTAGAATTCTTAACTCAAAATCTTGACTGTACGCCGGGACATGATCAAAAGCGGGACAAACATTTCAGTAAGAACTCGAGCTGACGAATGGCGAGATGGCCTCTCTGGGAAGGATAAAAGAATAAAGGATAAAGCATTTGCCGTTGATCAATCCCTTTTTGGATGCGGCACGCATTCTACTTCCATTTGTACATTCGTAGTGGCGTTTGAATGCGATGTGGCCTATACAATGACTTGCGGGGGCCAGCCGATGTACAAGTCAGTGTTTTTATCCTCCCAGACAAGTCTGGTACCAATTAACCGACCCCGGAGGGATGGAAGGCTTGGTTGGCCCGGGCGACTCACGACCCAGGATTTGATCCCCGGACCGCTCGCGTGGTAAGCGTGCCACTTGCCACTACACCACTTCCGCCCCGTATGATTACTCTCATTATCCAAATGACGAGAAGTGGTCTCCCTGTTCTAAGCCAAATGTCCATCAAGATCCACCTCACCCCTGGTTCGGCATTTATCCGAAAACTGATAATGGATCCATTTAGTTTTGAAAGCAAACTCCGGGATAAAATGAGGGAGTTCTCCGTACAAATATGACGCCCTAGGTGTTAACTGAATCAAACCTTAATAGAAAAGCAGGAAATACCCCGAAAAGGTCCAAAATAATACCCTCCTCTTCGTTAGTTACTTACAAGCCAGGCTGGGAGGATTACGTGTCTGAACGTGTTCACAGCAGCCTGCTGGCTCCATGCCAACAACCGACACGGCCATAAAAATCAGCAATGGGGTTAATTTAATCTTTCTTCTGATTTTTCTATCATTTTTCTACTGTTTCTGCTTAGTTCCGGTTTTTTATTTGTTTTTCCCATTTCAAAAATTTTATTCTTCTTGAATATGTTAGTAAAGTTCCTACGGTAAATTCCGTAGCATGAACTTTTGCATGCTGAAATTGGCAGTGGAAATCCGCAAAATATCTTTCTGCGACCTTCTAAACAACGGCTTGGCATCTACTGTCCCAATAGTTGTCTGGAAGGTTGCTTGGAATAGTGGGCGGGTTGGGGCGGCGCCAATGCTCCAACCTGGGCTCCTAGCGCCTAAACCTTGTCAAATCGCCCCGCCACTTGTGCACATCTTGCGTACTGCTGCATATTTGACGGGAAAAACTAAATTTCGATAATTATCCCGAACTTTGCCTTTAAGGAATACATTTTGCAATCGGAACGCCCCCTTTGCTAATTTTTTGAAGGAGGTGGGGTAGTCGCTGAACGAGAGACTTTTAAAAGTTGAAAGTTTGATACTCACTGTTTCTGACGAGCTGCTGTACGTAGCTCATCAACAAGCCACGGAAATCCGTGGAGCTACCGGTTGTCTTGGCCGCTAGAAGCCATCCTTCCAGCAATGACTCTTTTACTGACGACGAAACTCCTCGCGGTATTGACGGTAGAAGCCCAGGCCTGGAAAAATCAGAATTACTTAGCTGAAAAGGTGCTAAGGGCAACACCAACGATTACATGAGATATGTTCAAATTAGTATAAATACGCATAATCTGGAGCGGAAGTGGTCCAAAAGACAAAATGAAGCTTTCTTTCAACCTTTTTTACAGACATGTCCAACCACCTAACGGGAAATATCTTCGAGTCCATCTGATTGTTCGCTACCTTACCTTTTCCGCCGCTTCAACAGCTTCCCTATTGGTCCATCAGGTAGTTCGTCAGCATCTATGGAATCGCAGAGCTTCATCAACGGTGACATTGAGTCCACTATTTGCCTACAATGAACCGCATTACAATATGACGATGAGCCAGAACTCCAATTGGAAATCACATCTTAATGATGCAATTCAATCTCTCCACACGGCAAACCACAACTAAAACGTACCAGCAATTCATATCCAGTGAAAACGTAAAAATGTTTCCGGTTGAGAATCCTAATAACGGTATTCCACTTGAGGTCACAGATATCGACATCAGATTTGCATCTAAACAACACATCCGTGACTGCTTGATCAATCCTGCTGAGGTCCGATTTCAGCTCTAACAATCATGATACGATGCTTAGTTCTTGCGTTCTTAATTTTATGAGGCAGTAGTATGCGCCACGCACTCAAGAAGCTGATAAAAAGCGCTATACCTTGTTTTTGTTTAGAAGAAGGGAGGGCATTAGGGGACAGAGGAAACTGAGTAATGCGCCTATATCGTTGAAAATATAATTACTTCCACAGAAGCTTAGAAGTTTTGATTAACCACAGAAGAAACATAGAGAGCACTGTATAACACCGTATTCGAGTTGATGAACTATTTTTTTCATCGCACTAACATATCGCAATACTTTTTTTTAGCAAGTAAAGAAGTTTCGGGGAAAGTTGGCTGCCTTGGCTTTCAATTTCATTACTTTGAGGGTAATCAGAAATTAGTAGTAGAAGAACACAATTACCTACAGTTTGCAACTAATTATAAACAACAATCATGCAAAATCTTTGATATTCAACAAAATGCCGTGCTAACCTTTCACAACGCAATCAGTAATCGACTGACGAGACAATATTGCTTTGATCTTGTCGATATCCCTAAATGTACAAATAAGTCTCAAAATGTGAGTCTTTTCTATCGAACGAGTGTGCTGTAAGAGGACACCTTGTGACGTCGCGCATTTTTGGGAATGGGACGTACAGAGCAGTTGATTAAAGGA